ATGGATCGGAATAGTCTTCAAAATTTTCATCGAAACTAAACAAACTTTCTTTTTCACTGCCTCTTTTCCTGTGATCATCGAAAAAAAGAAGGCGAGAAAAACGCGAAATATAAAACTGTAACATGAAACTGTCATTGGTTGAATGATTTTATAAAATACAAAATTTCTTCATAAGCAATTGAGATTTTGCTTTTTTTTTCACTCATATTTTTTTATTGAAAGAAAATTAATAAGAAAACTTAAAAAGTAAAGTAAATATCTGGTGATAATTTAAAATATTTCTTCCCGTTTTCTGTCTGCTTATTGTTGTAATTTTCAGGAAGATAAGTGGAGAAAAAAGATAATTGATTGATTACTTTATTAGCTGAACGATTTATACTTTAATTATGACATTCATTTGTTCCTTTTTTTTACATATCATTGTCAAATAATTTTTTTCTAAGTGAATTAATTTCAAGTAAAATTTAAATAATAAATCTGCTAGGATGGACCAAAATTGCATTGCTCATTTTATTGACGGTTACAGTATTTTATTGTTTTGTATTACAAATTTGTATGAAATGCTTATTTTACATGTTGATAAAATTTTCAATTTCTAAATTTCTCCTTTCCTTTTTTCTTTGCATAAAGTAGACTTAATGCTTCCTTCTACATATAAAAATAACTTTGTGTAAACAATTTAATATAATTCTAATTTAGTATTATAATAAAGATGAAAGCTTATGACAAAATTATAACCTGGTAATTTTAAGCAAAAAAAAATTGCTGTCGATGGAACTTTCTCTTTTTTCTTTCTTTCACTTTTTTGTTGACTAATAGAAGCAGCAGATGGTTAACAGGTTTAAAATGATCGTAAAAACAATAAAATCGCAACAGTAAAACAGTAAATTGAATAGCTGCTGTATTCAGACATATGATAATTTCGCAGATTGATTTAAAAAAAAAGTCCTTTTTCATTAAATGAGCTAAATAAATTCATGTACACATAGCGATGAGTTTTTTAATTGAACATAGTTTGTTTAATTGAAAAAATGAAAGCCAAATTAATTTGGTAGAAACAAATATCGATTACTTCAGTCTTTCTAATTATTTTTCACTCAAGCAATTCGCTTGTTTTTCTTTCGTTCTTTTTTTTATGTGCTCTATGATAATCTCATTTTTGATGATAATGGCAATGATAGATGAATGGATTGTATGTGAACTTTGATTTTGGTTAAAATATATAATATTGAAGAAAAAAACAAAGGAAATGATAGTGTAAAGAGAAAAAATTACAGAGAATTAACAAGTGAATTCAGTCTATTTTTTGGTTGCAAATTTTAATTAATAATAGAATAATATTCAGAGGATTTAAATGGGATAATGAATGATCCAAAAGTCCGTTAATTAATACATTTGCTTGAAAAAGGAATTGTTAAATGGTAAAACCTGTTACAATTTTCATAATTACGGTTTTTCATTATTAAAGATTTTATCATTTATCATTGCTTTTTAGATAAATTTGCGATCGAAAAATCCCATATGGTATTTTTGCGTGGTTTTACTCTTATTCATCGATATATTCATATCATTCTGTTATTCGTAATCATTCTAACATTTCTTTTATGGACACGAAAAGGTAAAGAAAAAAAAAAAGCTTTCCATATTTTACCGCAATATAAAATACCACAAAAAAATCGAAATTTTAGCAAATAGGGTAAAAAATATTTCGCATTACAATTTCTTTATAATGATTATCATTATTCAAACGCAGCAAATTTTTACTTAGAAGACATTTTAGTCGTAATTTAAAATTTATTTGGATTTTTTAATTGGTGGATAAGTTAAATGAATCTAGCTAACTTTAAAATTAGATTTAATCTTAGGATTAGCTAGATTCATTATGATTGTAAATTAGAGCTGAAAATTTCCAATTTTGTTCAATACAATCGGATTAAGATTAAAGTTCTTAACTTCCTTTGAACTTCCAGATAAGAGCAAGAGGATCATAGTTTTAGCTTGCTTTGATATTTTATGTATATGTGATTACTATTTTAAGAATGAATATAAAAATTAACACTTAAAAAGAACTCATAAGATATATGAATTAATTGATATAATTGAATTCTTTTTTCTTAATTTCAAAAAAATTTAGGACCACAAATAGCAGAAATTAAAATAGCAGTAGTAACAATACTGAAAGATCTCAGTAATATCAACGAATATGAATTAGCAATGAGAACATTCGAGTGTTATTGTATTTATCAACGATATAAATGGATAGTAATCGATGTATCACAGAATGATACTTTGAAATTACTTTGCCCACAAAATGAGGTTAACTATCATATACCGTTCCATAATTAGAAAACTTTGATTACGATATGTTAACCAATTATAGTCTCAATTTTTTTATTTTTTCTTATTATTTCTTAAATTATAATTATCATTCGTATCAGTGAGTTCAACATCTCTCAGTTTTCTTATTTCTCATTTTCGATATAATTATTTGTTTTTGCTTATATTTCATCTGTTTCCATTAATTAATTTTAATCAATCTTACAGTTTTTCTTTCAACGACATTGTGTAGTAGCACAATTTTTGCAAGAAAATAATAATTTCGATTATATATTATTTATCGATTCTGATATGGGTGTAATTAATCCAAAAAGGCGAATTGAGGAATATATTGTGGATGGCAAGGATATTATCTTTTACAATCGCATTTGGAATTTTGAAGTGATGGCTGGAAGTTATTTAGCTAAGTAAAGCAGAAACTTTTATTTCTTTTTTAACGAAATTATAATTTTCATGTGGAATTTTCGTATACATATTTATTGTTCAAATTTAACACTGTTTACTTTTCAATACTATTTAAATCATTAGAAAATGATGTAAGAAAAAAGAATTACAGTATCGAAAATTTATCATTTATTGCAGGATGTCACAAAAAAATATAATAAAATTATTATTTGTAAGAGTTACAATTGTAATTTTTTAATATAATAGTTGTGATTACGATAAAATGTGGTTAAATTTCATAAAATATAATAAAGCATATTTATTACTGAAGAAATGACTTGTAACATATTTCTATTGCTAAATTTGAAATAATTACGTGCTAAAGTTGACAATATTTGTAGGAATACGAAATTTGTCATCAATTTCTTACAAATGTGGGCAAATTACAATTATCGTTTACCAAATTCATTCCATGGATCTGATAATGCTGCTGTTCACGTTTGTCATTTATTTGTGGAATAAATTTTCAAATACAAATTTTTTTTTTTAAAAAAAAAATCATTGCCTTTGGTAATAAAGGATTTTTTTTTTGGAAAAAAGAAAAAAGAGAGAATAAAGAAGATTTATTGGAAAAAAATTTTTTTCGTTAATTAATTAATCAATTTTTATTTCGAAATCATTTTATTCTTTCAATAAAAGAAACACAAATATGATAGACTTTTTTCTTTTTAAAACTCTTTCATCCATTTAACTACAAAGTGCAAAAGTCAACTTCCGAAAACGTTTAAAATATTTTTACTATCTCTTGTTAAACAACAATTTAATTTGATTGTGAATATTATTAATTATCACATTGGAAAACTATGTTTGATCATAAAAGCATTCAAAAGAATGAATTATTTTCATGCAAGACACAATATCTTTAATGTTAATTTCCGATGATTAAACTTAAAATTGAATTTTTTATCAAAAATTTTGACAAATATTGATTCGTTTATTTCAGGCAGTATTATTACACGTCGCATCAATAAGTGTGAAACATTGCGAACCTTTGTGGAATATATCAAACTAAGTTGTTTATATACCTGTGTCACCTTTTTCTTAAATCATTGTTTAGTTGATTAATTTATTTACTTAAATGAAGTGTATATCTCATTTAGTAATTAAAGAATTTTGCTGCTATTGGTGCAAAAAAAGAAGTCAAATCAATTGAAAGCTCATTAAATTTTAATTTTTAGTAAGAAAAAAAAAAGATTTGATTGAAGTGATATTTAAGTCTGAGACGAAAATAATCCTAACAACACTTATTCTTTTATTACAATCAATTTCTCTCATCAGCAATATTTAATATACATTTTTAGAAGCTTAATTTTTTGATAAGATTATAATTCAGTTAAACCTCTTTTATTAGACAAAAATTTTACTTTTACTCTTTTTTATGACGAAAAGTTATGAGGGAGGGATAAATTCTGAATTAAAATAAATGTGCCATTTAAAATAGCTCAAAAATCTCAAATTTTACAAATTATTTGTTGATAAATGAATGAGGAATGATTTAATTGTTTTTTTTGATTCTTAATGAAAAAAAGCTTTTTTGTTTGAAACTAACTTATAAAAATGATATGTGAAAGTAAACGTGAAACGATGGTAAAATGTTATTTCAGAAATTACAAAGATTTATTCACATATGAGGCTTGTGTTCGAGCACAACTTGAAACTAACGAAAAATGGAAGAAGAAAATAACTGTGCTACCGAAAGGTCAATCCTGGGCACGTGATGGTTGGCTTACGAATTCGAACTGGTCCGAACAAGATTTCATCTTTCATGGATGGCAAAAGCGGTTGATCAACTTTAAAACATTCAATAAATTCATATGTGTTTTTAAATCCTATAAATACACCAAAATTAAATTATCAGATCAAAGTTATGGTAATAATCATATATTGTTAAATAAAATTATAATTAAAATTATGATTGCATAGAAAAAAAAATCACAAAAATTAGGAAAAAACCAAAATTGTAATGAAAAATGACGATTGTAAAGTAATGATTTATCAGTTCATGATATAAAGAAAAGCTTTAAGGCGTTTCATTTAACAATAAACTATTAATATTTTATTTATAGGCGTTTAAATACACGAGTATTTGCATCATGGAAATTGCCATTTTTATCAACGAAATTTAACATGTCAATATGTGATACCAGTAATTATATGGAAAATTGGAAATATAATCAAAGTTTTGCAAAAGATCCAAATGAAATTCGTGTTCAACTGAATGTGATAATTAGCCTAAAAGATGTGGAATATTATAAGGAGAAACAAAAAGTGGAAAAAATACTGGCTAATTTGATGAAAAATGAGCATAATTCATCAATCAATTCATTATTGCTCGTAATGGCAATGAATAGAAAAAATCAAAATTTAAATTCAAATTTTAGTACAATTTAATAATTGCAAATTATTATTGAAAGTGTGATGCAATGAATTTTACCAATATCTTTTGTTTGATAAATATCGAACATAGAATAATATGAATGCCTAATCAAATCAACTTATTTAGCTTTTTGTTAATATTGTTTAGAAACTATTTCAAATCTAAACTGTCTACGGTTGTTATCACTTTTTACCTCCCTGTTATCATTAAAAAGTTTATCAGTAGTTTTTATCCCATTGCTATATTATAAATTTATAATCATTTTTATCTCGTTGTTATAATTTCAAACTTGTCGTTGTTTTCCATTCTTTTATGATTAGTTTGTCAACGTCTTTTTGACATAATTACAAGTTTGTCAATAATTTATTTCTTGTTGTCATCATCATATATTTATTAACCGTTTTTGTCCCCTTATATTGATAATGTGTGATTTATCAGTAACTTTTATCTTTTTGTTGATACCGCAGCATTTGCTGCTACTTTAACTAAAATAAAACTTCTTTATTTATCTTTTGATAAATTCGCATATTTTAATCCCAAAAATTTTGCAGAATTATTTCCATCATTTAAAATAAAATTGATTCGTGGCATCATTATTCAGCAAATTTGTCTTTCAAATTATTTTTGCAACTTTTTTCCATTCTGTTGCTTTTATTTTTACAATTTATTCAATTAAGACGAAATTATATTTCATTTCTTTTATTACTGTAACTTCTTTAAATTTATTAGTGTACGTTTTGCATATTTTAAATAATATAATAATAAATTTAAAATTTTATCTGTCCTAATTGTGTATTCTATTAAAATTTAATCCTAAAGATTTTTTCTTACATAAACTAAACTTACCAAACCGCTTTTTTGAGCTCTTTTTCTTGCATTTTGAACATAATTTCTTAGGAAATATCATTTTCGAACAACAATAATAACAACATTATTTGATACTTGTATACTTATCACTGAATGGAATATATCGGAATGTAGCAATTGATCAGAAATAATATTTGCTGCTAAATTATTTCTTTTACTTGAGTGAATGATCAAATTTTTGTAATTAAATAACAAAAAAGCAAAAGCATTATGCTATTATCATTGAATATTTTCAGGAAGTGAAATAATTCAGTTTGGTATAATTTCTTCTGAAGTAACAGTTTCCACGGCAACCAGTAACTACTCATTTCACTTCCATTACTTTAATAAGCCAAAATCGATTTCAAATTTGAACACTACAAATTATTGTTCGAATTATCTCTTTTCCAATTTTACTATCTCAAGTGAATTAGTAAATGACATCTCGACCGACTACTGCTCGTCCAAAAACTTCTGCTGGTACACGATCTACTTCAGCCAGGCTTCATAAGCCATCGTCATCCATACATAATAATCAATATGGTAAATATATTACTTTAGTAATAAAAATTTTTGCTAGTTTTTTTAAAACAATTTTAAATATCAAAGAAATAAATTAATTGAAAAAAAAATGTATATGTATTATTTTGCAGATGTTACGGAACGACCAGTTAGCCGTGCGACAATGCTGCCGGAATCAACTGTGCCGGTTATGGTACCACAAACGAGTACGAACTTTTCCTTTCTTTTGCTTCTAATTTTCGCTATTGGCAAAAATGCACCATTAATGAAATTTTGGTGCTCCCATTGTCAATAAAAATTTTTTACAAATGTTGAAATTTAAAAAAATTTTAAGTTTCAAGTTCTTGAGAAAAAAGCAAAAACCGATCAACAAGTTATCTTTAAGCATGATAAGTAGTTTTTTTTAAGTTACTAAAAATTTCAGGCAACAATTTTACTATATAATATTATATTCGAATTATTCATATGAAATTCACCTTGTTACTTTAAACGAAAAAGAACATTAATGTTGTTTATCAATTACCGAGAACAGCATTTTGATGTTACTTTTTCTTGCAAATCGAAATCCCGAACCTCAAGTAATGCAATGCATTATTTTTGCTCGCCGACTGCTTTGTTTGCCTCGTGCATTAGACTAATTTTTTCTTGAATCAAAAAGAAAAAAAAAAATCGATATCAAAGATGTGTCGGTAAAGAACGGAACGGGGGAAGAAAGAGTAAGAAAACAATGCTTTTTTGGAAGACATTTTTGTCATTACTTTCCAAGTGATACATTTAAATTACTGCAAATTTTCATTTATCATTTATGTCACTTTACTTTTCATAACGTCGAATGATTTAACTTTGTACTGCGACATTTTTGTTACATGTAAAAAGTTACTTAAGTTACATGCAAAGTTGTATACAAAATTCCAAAAATGATGTCATCACCAGTACAAAAGTGAGACGAAACAATAAATAAATTAATTAATTAATTGATCAGTAATAGCAATAATAGTAGAGCTGAAAGATTGCTTGATTATCAGAATGTCTTACGTCATATTTTAATACTCATGATTTGAAATAAAGTTACCACACAATGTATTACTTCTTGCTCTCACTCCTTACTTTATTAAAAGTAATATTTCTTCCATTCATAGTACAAAAAGTTAACATTAAACAAATTTTATTCATCCAATAAACACAATGTAGAAAGTAAACGAGCATTGGGGTTACAATACTTACAAATCAAAATTTCAAATTATCAAATTTAAGCGTTTCAATTTTAATAACTATTACAAACTTTGTATGAGTTATCATGAATACAAATAATGTGATGGAAGAATGTAATATATATGTTAACATTTACATTAAGGGCCAAAAATTAATCAGTAATGTTAGTTGTAAATTTCAAAATTTCATGTTATTGCAGTGAGTCGAATTGGATCTAATCCACCACCACGACTGAATTCAGCTCCGGTACTTTTGTCTTTTTTATTAAATTCTTTTAGAAGGTTATACAAATAAATAATTTTTAATCTTTAAATTTATTTTTTTTTTTGGAATTTCATATTACGATAAATTCAAATCTTAGCGTAACGAAAGGGTTCGAGGTCGAATAGGTACAGGCCAAAGTGCAAAATTAGTAACAAGTACGATTCAAACAGCACCACGCGGAACCGCAATGCGACCTGTGACACAACAAGGCTTAACAGGTGTCAGGACATCGGGCAGAGTTGGAGGTTAAATTTCTTCCTTCAGAACATTCCTTTGTATAGCTGTGTAAGAGGAATTGCTAACAAAAAAAAAAAAAAAAAAGAAGAATGAATGAATGTTTGCTCTTTCATCGTCTTTTATGCTTTGCGTGGAATAAAATAGTAAAATTTGAAGAGATTTGAAAATGCCAAATTTAGCAATTCAATGATCATTGTTTTATAGCTGGACGTTTCGTGGTCGACAAAAGCTACTACATGTCATTATTTCGAGCACAAATGAACAATTTGATGAATGAAATTGACAAACTCCGTGGTGAACTGAACAAAGGTGAACGTGATCGACAAAATTTACTGATTTATGAAAAAAAGTAAATATTTACCATTTTAAGAAAAAGTTCAAAAATAATAAATAATTAAATTCATTAATAACAATAGATCTTGCTTGAGGTTGAAAGTTTTAAATTCAAAAACTGAATAATGATTCACTAATTAATATGCATACGTAAAATCAAAATCAAAGAATCAATCAATAATTTGCTTTTTAAATATTTCATGCGAAAAAAACTTTGAATTAGTTAATAATTTATGCTTAAGCATTCTATTTTGTTTTTTTTTGTGGCCATTTGGCGTGGATATCATATTATCATATAAAGTGATATTACGTGACATAATTTTTAGATTACTGCCTTGTTAGAAGCACCACGTAAAGCTATCACTCAGATCGTAATTTTATGCTATCATTTTTAGGGCCGAAGAGGAAGCGAATATAATAAGAACATTGCAAGGACGTTTGCTGGATTGTAATAAGGTCAGAAATAAAACTTTAACTGTGTTACATTGAAATCTAAAAAAATTGACGTGATAGCTAATAAATAGTAGAAATGTGGAATTCGATTCAACATTTGAATTGCTGAAAGGGAATATTGGCGGAAAGTAGTAGTTTGATAACTAAATGCAATGAATGCTTAGAAATAGGTTATTAATTGAATTTTTATCTTATGATAATATGCCCTTTGACAATTTGATAAAAAAATAAAATAGATCAATATTTTTGCTCCTTTTTCCTTTTCTCTTTTCTTCTCTAATTGTAATTTCTCTAATTGTAATTTTATTTTTGCAGTTTGAAATGATCTTTGCAGATAGTAGATTTGATCAATACAAATTCGGAATTACATGAAGTTGAAGATGAATTAGCTAAATTGCATGAAGAGCGCAATGATGCAGAAAGGAGCTTAGCCGAATTAGTTGAAGATCGACGTATGAAGGAAGAAGATATACGCAAGGTTGAAAATGAAATCGAAGAACAGAAAGCTCGAAATAATGCTAAATTTTATTCGGTGATATTTAAAATATTTATCAAATTTAAGCAAACTTCTTTTTTCTTTTTTTTTTTAAAAAAAATATTAATCATGCAAATTGAGTTAAAATTCACAATTTCAGCTAATAATTTTGAACAATTTAACTTTTATTATTATTTAGAATCCAGCAATTTATGATGCATATGAGAAACTGAAGAAGGAAAATGAGGAATTATTGGAGGAATATCAGATGAAACAGGAAGAATTGAACGAATTGAACCAAGAGAAGAAACAATTTGATGAGCATTTGGCAAAATTTCCTCTCAAACAGCAAGCAAGTATATTTTAAGCAAAAATTAATTAATAATTATGGATATTTTGAAATATGATTGATTGATGAAGGAAGAATTTATAGCAATTATTTCGAAATTTGTTTTAAAAAAATTCTGTAATGTTCAGATCAAATATGTTAT